GATACTTGCAACACCCGTAGTGTTGCAAAAGCGTTGCCACCTTTGAATAAAGTGCCGGGGCCCCGGCTACCTCACTCACCAGACGTAACGCAATTCAATTCCATTTAACGCTGGTTTTTGTGAGGTCGTGGTCTTAACCGGACGGACCTGCCCATTCGTACAACAGTGAACACTGTCGCATGATCCTACCATAGGCCTTTCATCGAGGTTTGGAAATAACACATTATACTTCATCAAATATCATGTTTATCTTGACGACCAAGGTAGGATGAAGCCTGTGACAAACTGCGGCATTCTTAAAGGCATCGTATATATATTATAGGTGAAAGGCAAACGTTACCAAATAATTTCAACCCCGGAAGAAATTTTACGGCTAACGTAGGAAATAAGTAATTTTATTGATGGCATCCATCCTTCATTTACGAAGTTCGGACTTTGACAAAGTAACGTAAAGATGTATTTAGTAATAGTTTAGCGCTAGTTGACGTCTTTGAGTGCTGCTGTTAGTTACTTAAGAATGTGTTGTGGCTGAGATATAAACACGAGGGAAGTTTTGTGAATAGAACTCTACATACATCGCCAACCCTGCGCACATTTCGATTCTTCACGCTGGTCACTGAAGCTGGAACGGATTGCTTAAAGCTTGCCAGTTCACCCTTGCCGTGTGGTTCAAGTGACAAGCTGAACACAATCAGGCTTAACGTATTTAAATCCAATTGATAAACATTGAGATTTCGATTCGTAGTTGTCTGATATGGTTACCTTCTGTAACAACTATTTAGTTCTATGTTTCTTCGTGTATAACAGTCGAAAACTTAAAAATTTCCATCTTCAAAGAAACCACTGGTCGATAATAAGGTTATTCTAAACTGTAGACAATTTTCGGTATCTATTTAGAAACGAGAAGACGGAAAAAATACTCGTACTAAAACCCTCTACCCGTGTTGTTGAATATCACCACTTAGTGATTGCCTCAACCGAGTCAAAACAAACGCCAATTTCTTATGAATTAAATAGTAAAGCTTTTACTTACCCCTTTAAATAGTTTGGAGGGTCAGCAGTCAAGTTAAAACATATTTATGGTGCACTGTCAACGGCTGTGGCTGATGTTGGGTGTCCTCAATTAATAACAATCAATTTAATTTATATTATCTGTGCCGTAAATCAATATTAATACTTAAAAATGACCTTCTTAAATTTTTTTGAACTGCCGACTGATAAATCAGCCGTCATAATTCGGGAGATGACTTTTAAGATTACATAATGTTAACTTTATTTGATCTTAAAAGTCAAAATATTGTAGATTGGAATTAATACCCTAGCATACCTTTACAAAAATATAGAAAACGCTTTGCCAGCAATTTTGTATTTTAGTTTCTCATTTCTACATGTTAAGTACAAACTGATAGAGTAACCCAAAATCAGTACAATTATTAAAAGTTTGTTTTTCTGTAAGTATGGTTTCACAATTTTTGTCTTTCATTTGCCTTGAAAGCAAATTGGACGAAGATTATGTTAGCTTTTAATTATTACGTTTTAGGTTTGGGAATTATTTAAACTGTAATATATTTCATGGTTTTTCAAAAGGAAGAAAAATAAGAAGTGGTGGAGTTTGGAGAGAAGTTAAATAATATAATCGTACTTATCAGGTACATGCATCAGAATTTTTATGTATATATTACTTCTTGTGCATATTATAAAACATGAAAAATAATTCAATAACTTGTTTAGTAACCACAGAGTTTAATAAATTGAATGACAAAAACTTTATTAACTTATTCAAGTCGATTTAAATTTTTGTTTGTTCTTCATTATTATTAATTTTATTCTGAAATTAATTTGTTCATTCTTGTATATATCTGTAACAAAGCTCTGTCACCTAATCAGCTACATGCATCAGAATTTTTATGTATATATAACTTTTTAAACGTATATGTATATGCTGGTGTCCTTTTTAAATAAATAATTAAGTAATGACCTCTTCTTAAACCGCGTCTGCACGAGGCGACGTGCGTTTCTTATGACATGTCTCACGCAATGGCCAATCAAGGCGGGCAGATTATCTAATTTGAGTTAATTTCCATCGACAATAGATCACAATGCGAGCGCGAGTGTCTCGCCGCCACCGAAGACATACGGGCGTATTGGGGTCCAATCTGCATTCGGACCGGCACAATGGGTCGCATTATCCATTGTGCGCAATTGGAAACGGTTCTTTGTGCTCGTATTGCGAGGACGCGACCACTGTGAGATCCGCGCTCGCTTCGGTATTGGGAACGTTTGCGTTTACGTGATATGTGACGGCAACAACCAGTGCTCAAGTCCTACTATGCACTGGGTAGTCACAGAAAGATAGACGTTTCAACGAATTATCTATGGCCCTAATATCTTTGGCACTTGAAGAAATAAATACTGAAAAAGGGTCGTTCAAATACAAATATATCTTCATTATAGAAGCATTACACTTACTTAATCACAGAATACTACCACCGGTTCGGAAACAAGCCACTGATCTGAGAAGAATTGGCGAAAGAAAGCGAGACAATTTTTTAAAGCATTATTTAGAGCGACGACTCGGCATGAGCACATGCGCGGCCCTACCCACAGCGGAGGACCCAAACCCGTGGGTTCTGGCTAGCCCACCGGTTCTGCGTCCGATGAAGCTTTAATAGTCTCGGGACTGACAGCAAAAACATCAGTTAATAAAAGATACAAGAGCGGCGGCTTCTGCTGTTACTCTTGGCAGATCCGAATGGGCAGCGGCATCCTGATCGTTTTAATGTTGGTAACGGTACCTTCCAAGCATATCAATAAACATACATATATGAGGAGAACCACCTTCAAAGGCTATCTTCTTATATTATCGTAATAGTAAAACGTTATGCGCAACCCAGAACAATAATTTATCTACATATTTACAGTTTCAAAACGTTATCAATTTGCTCTGTACAAAATTCCTACCTAAAAGTTACGAGTATGTTATCCTATGTTCCTAATTATCTTATTTTAAGCAAGTCCATAACTATCCTATTTTAATCAGATAAATTTTAATAAGTATATTAAAAACATCAGGAGCTCACAGAGATCACACTTGGGATCTGTGATCGTCTGATCACAGATCACAAAGGAGATTTTCTTTACAGAGCGTATTGAAGCAACCTACCCAACGTTTTGTTCTGTTATCAGTTCCTTCACCGCTAATAACGTGATAGTCAGCAGCTAAAATTCAAATTAATAATTTCCTTGGTTAACGAAATTTAAAGCGAATTCCCGGTATCTAAATCACCGCGGCAGATTGTACTATTTGTGTTTTGCTTTAAGAAATTTTTATCACTCTATGGAATTGATATATTATATTCAACGTTATGAGGGACGTATCCTCTACGGAGGGGGTGAGGTGTGGAATAAATGAGATACAATGGGACACAATGGGATAATTTGTATTTATCGTTGTTGCCCTCGGATCACTTGAGCTATCCCGCATACGCCTCTTTACCGGAATCTCCGAGAAATTCTCTCGCCACCATTGTGAGGCTGGATGCACACTGGCTTTTCACGTAATATTTCTTTCGGCGCGTTTCATCGCATAAATACAAGAAATTGTCATATTAAACCGTTATCAATTGAATAAAATATATTTTTCACAAACAAAGAGTACTGGGAAAGGGATGAAATTTTTTATTTTTTCTTTTGTTACACTAAAGAAGTAGCTTACGGGCGTACATATTTTTTATATTCTTGTTTTAAAAAAACATATAGTAAACAATTTATATGATAATCTGTTAATAAATTATTGTTTAAATCGAGCATGTCATGAATATAATTTAAATTGTCTAATTAGTTAATTTTTTAACTAGTATATTACATTTTCATTGTATGAGTAATATAGGTAATATGATGGAACAAAACTTTGGGATATTTTTAAAGGAATGACTATAATGATGACAGCGTTCCAACAGATTCCTGATAAGTGATCATTTTTATGTTATTGCAGCATCTTGGGCAGCAGATGTGAAATAAGATTCAATACATACATACATATAAATATAAAAGATCATTCTCCAACAGTATTTGCAAGTATAATGAGTAAAGAAATTTAAAATGTAATATCTCAAAGTTGTGCACGCGTCCTTATTCGATTAAATCAATTATAACTAATGCCTCACAAAACTGTCAGAATTGGTGGAGATGGAGGCGGGTTAGATTCCCGATTTAGTAACATTCCTGTATAAACAGTTGCGGTAATTGCTCGCCTATCTATTAGGCGATTTGATCCGACATGCGGGAGGCTTGTGCTGGCTCGCACCGCCCTTGGATTTTATTGAAACTGTTATTTTGGGCCTTGAATAGGCACCTAATTTGGGTGCTTTTTGTCTGGTCGGTATAAAGAGTCTGTTTTCAAAAACACCAGCATAAAAGAACAGAGAAGAACGAGATCCTTTTACTACCAATAGCCACGTTGCTAGGAGGGGGAAAAACATAGTTGGATAGTTTCAATTTTCTACGAAGATTATTATCGTTGTCATCATAATTTCTATACACCCATAGTCAATGATATTATAAACAAATACGAGGTAGACAGGACACTAGAGCAGCGAAATTGGGGCACTCAAATTACTCCAATTGGTGTAATTAGATTGCAAATCCATAGACTGCTATCTCTTTCCGTATAATACGTTCTGTATCATCTGTCACATTCAGTTATATATGTCATATGATGTAAAGCGGAACGACTTTTTGAACTCTGCGTAGTATAAACATGTGTCATATTTGTAAAAACATCGTTGTCCATAGTGCATATAAGTTATTTGATAAGTCGAGTCCTCTAATTGATCAATTCATCCGGCTGATAAAAAATCTTAGCTTAGCTTAGATTCTTATAGTTCTATTCGCCTAGGAAATTAAAAAATTCCATTTCTATTACCTTTATCTCTGAAGATCCTGGGATTGTGTGTATTTAAAGGAATAGGTGAAATCGTAGAAAATATTTTACAACGCTCATGTCTGTTATTTTGTGCGAAGTTAGTAAAAAGAAGGAAGATACAGTTGGTCACCTAGCAGCGGGGTCGCCGAGGCAATTGATTGACTTAATTTTGCCATTAAGACATCACTTCCTGTTCCAATTGCTCGGGACCGTACAGGAAGCGACCACCGGCAAAGGTCTGTACTTCGTCCAGTTTGACAACATCGATTTAATTCAATCCCATCGTAACAGTGGGCGGTCTTGATTCCAGAGCGTTTGTTTATTATAAATTTGCAATTAAAATTCCGTACGTGGCAGCATTTACTGCAGCTTCAACTCCTGTTCGACTAGAAGATGACAACCATTCCCCTGATTGTAAGCAACTGCCGACCATGAACATACAATACTAGGTGTCAGCTTAGATACCGACTTTAAATGAGCCTCGATTATTTCACTCACCAAATGAAGTATAAATACTTTCGCTTCACGATGGTCTTATGTGAAGCAGTGCTTAACAAACAGAAGCCTCTAGACCTTTGTTATTGAAACATTTTTTTTTATCGTTTTATACAAGAGCCGTGATAGCTCAGTGTTCGGGCGCTCGCCTTTAATTCAATATACTCGAGCAACCTGAGTTCGATCCCCGGTTCAGACGATAATTGAATTGTTAAGTGCTGACTTATCACGTGCTCCTCGGTTAAGGAAAACATCGTGAGGAAACCAGCATATTTTCGAAATAATAACAAAAATATATATTTCGAAAATATGTGAAGTCCGTCAATCCGCAGTGGGGCCGCGCGGTGTACTATGCTCTGATACCCTCTGTATAGAGGAGGTCTTTGCCCAGCAGTGGGACATGTATAGGCTGTTACTTTACTTTTTATTGAGTTGTCGAGCAGGAAAGATATTTTAAGGCCTAATGTGTGTTAAGTATCCGTGCCGACAATTCAACATTGTCCTTATCGATGAGTAATAAACTTTAACCGCAATTCATTAAACAATAATTGCGCTGGATCTCCAAAAGTCTCCATTTGTAACTTTATATCCTTGCAAGAATCGTTGAGGTTTTCATAAATGCCCATAAAAAGAGCACTTGTACCGAGCAATTAAGTAGGTCATCCGCAAATTCCACTTCTATCACTCCCGCTCAGTGGCGAAAGCCGCGTTGCCCCGCATTCGACTCCCCGGCCGCGGCGAGTTGAGCGGCGACCACCGCCACGTGTTGCTGTTTACGCCGTGCGCCTGTTACCACTCACGGTTTTGACAGGTCGCACCGAGGGCCCCATCATGAAAATGCCCTGTGCACACTTTACACGACTTCGAAATTTAGACCCTCTGAGCACAGCTTAAAGTCGACTTTCCTAAGCGTCGTTGAGTGCGTTTAACGCCTTTTGATATTCGAACGATCGTACTTGGATTAATATTTTGATGTGGTAAAGTTCAATACGCGATACACGATTTTGGATCTTAACTTGAGGAAACTGAGGTGGGATCTGCAGCGGTCCGATTTGTTATATACGCTTTAACGTGTTCCGAATACGTAATATAACTGAGGAGCGCGTGATTCAAAGATCAAAGAGGTTTTGATCAATCCGCCGATCAGTTGTATAGCGTGTCTTGAAAGTCTTGAAACATTATCATTTGTTTAGTAAGAGACCAGAAACAAGAGAGCGTTAAGAAAAGTCAAACGGATTAAATATACTGATTGATTTTGAAACGTTCAAGTCAATTCTGTAATTTTATTGAGCAACTGAAAATAGAATCAAACGTTAATCGTGCTTAAAGACATATTAAAGCGTCGTGCAGAATTTGCTCTGACGTCGTGCGTCGGTGCAAATTCTGCACTACGCTAAAAAAATAATTTTTACGAACGTATTACCAAGGATCAAGAAGTTCAGCGGCAGTTCAATCAAAGCGGTGCGCTTTGATGTGGCCTCTGTTTACGTGCTCCGCGCGTCTGTGTTTGCCGTTAAACAAACTCATCGCAGCCAGCGTCGCCAACACAGTAACCACCAACATTACTACGCGAACATACAGTCCAAGCGGTGTGTGATTTCTAAGAGGATGTGAACGAATTTATTTATTAAGTTTGCGAGTAATTACTAAAAATTATACAAGTAATAAGGTGCTAAGGTAAGTGAAGTGCTGGTAAAAAGTATGTTAAAATGAAGGATTGGTCTACGTGCAGAATATGCAGTGCCAGTTTAAGGCAAGGCTTTTACGACAAGACTATTGTGGCAGGCACCGTCATCAGTTATAAGATATATATGAAAAGTCTAGAAATTCTGCTTCAAATTAAAGTTTAAATAATGGATAAAGCTTAGTAGGTATGTATGGTTTTTAAACCTGTTGCGGTCCAACGTCACTTTGTTTGTCCATGGTCCATGTTCCATTGTCGTACTGGTTACAGGCTAGTAGTAATCCGTAAGGCAAACTAATATTTTAATCAAATTTAGAATATGTTCTAATCAAATGGTTGGTAAAACGTTGGGATATTGGGCAAACGGCGAAGGCCAGCTGAGATGGTGTTTGTTGCTACATTTGCTGAACTCGGCCGAATGAGCTATATTGTGTGTAAACAAAATGATTCGGTTTCTGCGTTTGTCTGCGGCGCGAGTTACAAACTTAACCGGTCGACATGTAGAGTAATTCTTCAATAATTTAAAATTAACAGCCTATATATGACCCACTGCGGCGCAAAGGCCACTATATAGAGGGTATCAGGGTATAGTACTCCACGCGGCCCCACTGCGGATTGGCGGACTTCACATATCTTCGATATATTTTTTATTTGTTGTTCAATATTTATTATTATTTCGAAAATATGCAGGTTTCCACACTATGTTTTCCTTCATCACTGAGCACGTGATACTGACACGCAAAATTAACAATTTCATTGGTGCCGGCACCGGGGGACCGAACTCAGGTTGCTCGAGTACATTGAATTAAAGGCGAAAGAGACACGGAGTTTCCGACATACCAGACATTCCTGAATCACATTTTCAATATATTGAGTAGAACCCTCCTCATAATTTATTTAATGCTCAAACGTATTTCTATATTTTTTTTTATGCGAAAAGTTGTCAAACGAGCTGACGGTTCACCTGATGTTAAGTGAATACCGCCGCCCATGGACATCTGCCACAACCGAGGGTTACAGATGCGTTGACAACCTTTTGAAAAAAAAAAATATTTTATTTCTATTTTAATATTTAAATGAAAAAAAAAATTCCGAAAGTATTAGTTGTCGCCACCGCTCGCGCTTGCGGCACGCGCCGCGGGTACCACTCAGTACTCAGTCAACTTTGAAGTGCTCTCTGGGTATTTGCGTAGTGTTTGCATATTTTTGTAATGCGGCGGCCCCGAACTTATAAACTGGCCGGCACTCGCTAGACTCCGTCATTTGATTATTTATCGCTCTTAAGAATTGCTAGTATTAGTAGAATTGCGTTTCCGCGGAATGTTCAAGTTGTGAGCGCTAGCGAACTCATCAAGAAACATCATGATTTCATAAACTCCTACTGACAGATTATAAAGACGTAAAAGGTGAAAGCACGGCGGTTCTTTCTCTTTATAATTTTTAAACTCGACTTTACTAGTTTGGCGTGGGAGTAGTGCACCTGCCTCTTACGCCAGAGGATGTGGGTTCGATCCCCATTACATGGAAATATTTTGTGACGAATATAGTGTTTTTCCAGTGTCTGGGTGTTTATATATGTATTTATTTACATAAGAAAAGTATATTAAAGTATGTTTATCAGTTTACTAGTATCTTATTGTATAGTACAGGCGTTGCTTAGTTTGTGACTAGAGAACGTTGTGTAAAAAAGTGTCCGAAAATATTTATAATTATTATATCATCATCATCATCATTTCAGCCTGTTTGAGTCCACTGCTGAACATAGGCCTCCCCCATAATTATTATATGTTCAATATTAAATGTTCAAAAGTTTAACGTTTGGATTATGGAACCTTAATTTTCTTTGGTTTATTGTCGAATTAAAAGAAACAACGCTCCTAGTAGCCCAACCGAATGGCCAGTTTTATCGTAGGACGAACCAGGCCTGCATAAATTACCTTCCAAGGCGCAGTTGTCCAATACGATGGAACACTACATAATTAATCTTTTTCAGAGAAGTACACGCTATTGGTGACACCATATTCTGGATTTTGGTTTTAATATGGGAAAACTTTCCTCAAGTCAATTGTCAAGTCGATATTTATTTCGCACTTTATGGCTCGATAAAATGAATGAAAATAAAATGGAACTTAAGTACATGATTATGGTAATAGGAAACTCTGCGGCTTCTTATAACGAAACCGCAAAAGCGTTAAGTCGAATTAGACTGTGCTGTCTTTAAATCTAATGAATTTTTCATGATCTGTGAACGAGGTGATTCGCAATTCACTTGACGTTGACTTTTCCATTGGACTGTAAATAGATTCTCTAGGGGTCGAAGATGTAAGGGCTTGGCACTTGATTGTAAAAGGATAGGTATGACTTACGAGGCAGAAGTTTTAAGCCTATTGTTTTGTATTACTCAAACACATATTTTAACGTCTTTGTATCTAGATTTAAGGTGGATACCTTCGAAGCATATTGAATAAGCTAATACAGCTAATAATAGATAAATCACGTGCTTACTTGCCGGCTTTTCGCATTAAAGAAAAACAAAATACTGTCAACTGAAACACTTTTTGCATTGCAATTTTGGCGTCCCTTTTTTTTTGTTAACGTGGGGGAAATGCCTACGCATACCCGCCCTCGCGGGGGCAAGAGCGGGTTATGTCGGGCTCGCACCGACTAAAACCCCCACGACGTTCCACCTAGGCGCATATCGGCAGGGCCACGGGAACACTTTCGCATACTTCCGCGAACCCTGCCAGCCCTGGCCGCCTCAGCAGGCAGGGGAGCAACTCACCTCTCCTCCAGGTAAGGCGGAACGCTCAGACGCTGGATCATTCATTCATTCCTTCCTACTTGGCCCCATTTTCAAGGCCAACGAACTCCCCCGAGCTCGCTGACCGGGGCCATGGGAGCCAGGACAGCCAGTGCTAATAAGCAGCTAGCCTCCCAGCCCCCAGCGGCTGACCTGGTCTGTGGCTCCGCCGCTCACCACGTTTCGGTCGCGAAGGGTAGGGATAACGGCGCATCGCAATACCGACACTCCTCTCCCCCCGCGGCCCCACCACCACTGCAACAACGGTGCAGACCCGCCGAGTCGCGGAGGATAGGGAGCGCGGCCAACGCAATACCGGCACTCCTCTACCCCCGCGACTCTTCCTCGGTAGCAGAAGACAGGTAGAGTGGCTCCACCTCTACCACCCTCGACCTGTCCCCTGCACCCTCCAGCACTCATCCAGAGTGGGCTCGATGAGCCTACTCGGAGCGGCCCCCTCGGGCCGACCTTACACCACAGGCCGGCCCAGTGTGGGTTCCTCTTAGCTTCGCCGTGGGTGTCCAAGCCCCGGCTACTAAGCCCCTCCGCCACGTCAAGGCAGGAACCCGGACGGAGGGGAATTATGGCGTCCCTAGCCCGAGTTAAGCAAGCATATAGATGCAGGTTCTGCATAGAAACCGATTGTGGACAAAATTTCACTTGTCTTCCCAATCTATCTGGCAGAAATCGCTTCAAACACTGGTACGTACCTTAACTGCCGCCTTATGACGTCATTACACCACAGAGATTTTAAAATTTTAACGGAAAGTAGCGGACGCGATTTCCGTCCGCATTCGTCTGAAACCAACTTCCGGGAGCGTACAAGGCGTCCGTGGAACATTGCGCAAGCGTCGATTGTTCGTACATCAAAGCGCGGCGGCTCTCCACATCAATAACATAATTTAGCAATATCGTACATGCTCTGCAGGCTATTTTTCCAACTGCGAACATTACTAAATCGTAAATCTGTCAATACAGTCCCAAATTCGGCGGCAATGATTAACACTTCCGCGGGATCAAAGCGCCGCCGCCGGATGCTTTCTAACTCATCTAGCCGATGTCAGAAGACGGCCCCGCGATTCGCGGGATGCTGTGGAAATTAAATTATGGAATGTTTACGATTGTAGATTGAAAATAATCTCTGTTTGCTTTTGCGTTCGATTTTTAAACGCGCTTTTGTAGTTTATCCTCCGGCGGGTTGCTTGTGAAGATTTAATCGCAGTAACCATTGGAAACTATGTGCTAAATAATATAAAGAAAATAAATTGCGTTTGTGATATTATTACGTAGTGTTTCTTATCCGTGTTATATTGTAGGTGTGGCCATAAGATAGTTCTAGTAAGATAAAAGGTATTTATAGTTTCTAGAACTGATAAACAGTTATTAGAGGTATCAAAACAATTATTTATCGGGGCATTCCTGTCTATTATTATTCCTCTATTATATATATTATCCTATCTATTCCTATATATTACATCGCTCACCGGAAGTTCTCACAGTTATAACAAAAGCACACATTAAGAAAGGTAGTTCATATGCGGTATGCGGTGCTTTTGCTACCAATGTTATGTTTAACACCACTACTCGTACAACTAATAAACTAAGCTCGAAGCATATTACTACCAAATTCCATAGACTTCAAAGAGAATGCCTTATTATTTTCTATATCAAATACGTTTCGAACGCCTTGAATGCGTTATAAAAGTGTAAATCCGAGTTCTAACTCATCAAAACAGCAGTTGAAAGGGACTGCGAGGGTGCACATAACGACAGACAGATTTTAACGACAGACAATAAAATACTGGGATCGCATAAATATGGATAATATAATAAACACGCGCGTTACCGGAAGACGTTGTTTACTAGAAACAGGTGTAATTCTATCGTTGCAGGAAGTGGCATCGCGGTGGCGGGAGATTGTTTACAAGTTCACCTTCGCCCGCTTTGATTGTGGCCTTTTGATGCCGTCCATCTTGTTTTAGTTGGCCCGCCGCGGTTTTTATAACGCTAACGCCGCGTTGGGTCAGGCGAGATTGCGGCTAGCTCTGCCGCGATTGTTTTTATCGCTAGTTTGTAGTGCGAACTGATGGTAAGTGGCGATTTAGTTAAGGGGGTATTTCGTTAAACCTCATCGCTTTTGCCTTGAAGAAACTTATACGAGAAGGTGGAAAACGTGGTGGAGGTTCAGCCGATGTTAAGTGATAACCGCCGCCCATGCATATTTGCAACACCCGTAGGGTGAGCCCACTTTGTTAAAAGGTGACAACGCATCTGCAGATGGGTGTGGGTTCCAGTTACCTCACTCACCAAACGTTACGCAAAAGTATATATATATAAAAAATATATTCAGATATTCGCGAATACGGTAGAGTACTTTTAGTCTATAAAAGCAATTGCGCATTGTTTCTAGAATGTGTTCCTCGAAGCGTAACTTTTCATCCATTATAAGTCCCAGATTACGAGCTTCCATAACACGCTCTAAGGAACACCCGCCAATAGAAATTCGCAGATTCTGAGATAGGATGCTATCTATTCGCTTACGTGATCCGAAAACCATGTACTTACACTTATTAGGATTAAATACAAGATTATTACAATCACACCACTTAGCAATACTTTCCAGTCGCCTAGTAGATATCAAGTCAGGGCCGACGTTTCTACGTATTTTAACATATACTACAATATGCAGGTTTCCTCACGATGTTTTCCTTCACCGCGGAGCACGTGATAAATCAGCACTTAAAATTAACAATTCAATTGTTGTCTGAACCGGGGATCGAACTCAGGTTGCTCGAGTATATTGAATTATTAATGGCTAGCGCCCGGAAACTAGCGAGCGATCTATAAGTAAACGATAAATCAATTGCGCTGCTTCTGTAATCAGATACTGCAGCATACTCGCTTTAAACGTGGTTTCCAAGGGAGAATGTAATTTGCGAGCTGCCAACACAAACGGCGGCATGCCACCACCGCTGATGGACCTCGCTCGAGATCGAATCTCGACCCGGGACGTGCGATTTCATCGCAACAAAAGTGTCACTTCTGCGCCGCCGCGCACGCATCCCGGCCCCCGACATGACGAGGGTAGTCACAGACAAGTTTTAATCAATCCCCGACCGCTACCATAGCACGGTTTTTTACAATTCTGTTCTTATAATGAGAATTGTCTTGGCTTTGATATGATATCTTAACTTCTATAATGTTATAAAGAGGAACGTACTCGAACGATTTTAAAAAGTATTTCAGCATTAGAAAGCTACGTAATAATCGAGTAATATAGGCTATCGTATACTTATATCGTATACTTATTAAAAAAAAATGAGAGGTAACATTAATCCCTTAAAAGGGACTAATGTAACCCTAGGTATCAAAATGCTGCCTATAGACATTATTTTGCGTCCTTTGCGAACACTAGTATAAAATAGTGTTCTATATATTAATTATGACTCCGTGGCGCAGTGGCCAAGTTATTAGTTTCAGCGTCGGGGGTCGTGGGTTCGATTCCCACACGGGACAACTATTTGTGCGAACCACAGATAGTTTTTTCGTATCTGGGTGTTAGTCCGCGTGAAATTTATGTTCGTAAAACGTCCTTACAACACAGGATAATGTTATCCTAAAGTAAGGGCAATGTTATTAATTAAACCCCCTGGGGGCCCCCCCATATTGTCACGGGAATGGGAACTACGCGGGTGAAATAAATTATTTTTATATCACGCAAATTAGCTGAGTTATCACAATTTTCGCGGACGATGTACTATAAAATATATGTAAAAACAGTTCTGTTCTACTGTTTTATGAAAATGGTCACAAGTAAGCCACCAGCTCAACTTATAGTGAATGGTCACCTCCGCACTTGGATATTAGTATGAAGTATTGTTATCAAGTATCAATTATTAATATCAAGAAAGTAGCGAACGGATTACCGTCTTTTGATGTAATGGTTTCACAGACCTATCACGTCTCGTTTTCAATCAGAGCGGAATGAAACAGAAGTCTGCCATCAAGAAATCCTAAAGACGAACCAACTATTCGATTCTGCAAATGATTACCAGATCTTCACCGCTCGAATGCCGTCGTTCATTCCAAATTCAACATCACAAAGTACCGTTGTAACCACTATAACATTGCGTGTAAAACAGTTACCTGAACCGTACGCGGCGCCATTCGTCATCCGTTCGTGTATCAGGCTTCGCCCGTGGAACTCCGATCCGACAATCGCGCATTGTTGGCGCAATCGGCCGTTTCGGACGGAAGCGTTCCCGCGCTATTTCTGTGCATACAAATATTTTTGTGGCGGTGATGGATCGCCCGTTCGGGGGCCGCGCAATCGGCGCGTCCATCGTTGTGGCCGCACGCGTAACAAGCCACCAGTCGGGCCGCTTTCGTCCTTTAATACGAACGATTGTTTTTTTTTTATTGAACAAATGGCGGAGGCCTCTAAGCGTCCGGGGAAGTTGTAAAGTACACAAAGTTTTCTTTAATGCTTCTTTTTTAGGGAAAATACAGAGAGAAAAGGTTTTTCAGCGGTTAAATTTACATAAGAAAAGCAGGTTTAAATGAAACTGTTGTACTTAACTGGTCGTGCCGGTCACGAGCCTCAATACTTACTTATTTTCGTGTACAGTTTTAAAAAAAGGCGCGAAACTGCCATAGAGTGCTGCTAATGGGGTATGCCGTCTTCTTTTTTGGCTTGTGATTTATCTAGAAGAGGCCTAGCTGTGATTGAGATTTGCTAAATCTACAGCTGAATGTACATACGGGTTTTGTTGAATTGTACATTAGCGCATTGAGAGAAATAAGGATAAGTAAGATTTAATTTTACATTTTTAGGGCTAGTCTCTCAACTTAAGACGATATATCCTTTATATACATACTCGATTCCACAAAATGTAATAATTACAAATCATTAAAAATATTGTCTTTACTGTTGGATAACTTTATCCCGTGTTGTTAGGACGTATGTGAGTACGTATGTATGTACATATACATTTGAAGCGGTAAACACCCAGTCCCGAAAGAAACATCTGTGGGTCACACAAATAGTTGTCTCGTGCGGGAATCAACTCCAGTACCCCTGGCGCTGAAGCCAGTGCCCTGGCAACTGTGCCACGGAGTCATCCAAAACGATTTGTAATTGCCTTGACATAATTTTCTTCCTGACTATCAAATAGCAGATAATTTTTTTTCATTTCAAATCCACTGTAGAACTTATCGGTCATAGGTAAAATTTCCGTTGGCTTTTAAATGCAACGCATTTTTGGAATCTCCGGCATCTGTTTCGGGCAAGCGGAATAGCATTCGAGTGACGGATCGATCATAACTGTATCGATGCTTATCTAAATGACGAATCGCTTCATCCCCTACGTTTAACAGTCCTTTGAGCAATTACATAAAAAGTGGTGTAAACACTACAAAAAACCGGCCAAATGGGAGTCGGTCTCGGACTCAAAGGGTTCCGTACCATTATTTATAAAAACGCTAAAAAATCATCTGTTGTATAGGAGCCCCACTTAAATATTTTATTTTGTTTTTTAGTATTTTTTGTTATAGCGGCAACAGAAATACATCATCTGTGAAATTTTCAACTGTCTAACTATCGCGGTTCTTGAGATACAGCCTGGTGATAGACGGACAGACAGACAGGCAGATAGACAGCGGAGTCTTAGTAATAGAGTCCCGTTTTACCCTTTATGTACGGAACCTAAAAATTGAAGTTTCCGATGCCATTAAAGTTATTGTAATTATTTTAAAATTCGTGTCTCTCATATCATCTCGCAAAAAATGTGAAGTATTTATTATACAGCGGAATATATGATAAAGATAATTAATACATTTTATTTAACTTTATTGACGACCGATAAAAAGTATATTCAAATAAATATCTTAGGGCGGCAGACTCGGAAAGTGTCTGGTTTAAGGACTATATAACTTTAGTACTTATGCCGTTATATAATAAATATTTTAAGTAAAAAGAGAATGTTTGAATGGAGTCTTTCCCGCTTTTCAATAAAAAAAATGGAATTATTATTGTAGTACAGAACACAGTATACGATCGATAATTGACCAGATGTATATCCTAACGATTAGATTTTAGCTATTTATGTTATGTAGTACCGTGGAATGTGGAATACGTAATGTCTCTAAAAGCATGGTGGAAGATTTTTGAAAGATTTTGATTACTTTGTTAACATTATCACTCCGTGGCACAGTTGTTAAGACGTTGGATTTGGCAGCGGGAGTCATGTGCTCGATTCCCACACGGGACAGTTATTTATGAAAACCAGATGTAATTTTTTCGTGTCTGAGCGTCTATTCCTATGGAGGCTGGACGTCAAGCGGGCGACCGATTTTAAAAATCTAGACTTTTGATTCACGTGTTATGCCGACTGCACCTAGGTTGTATAAAGACATAGCTGGTTACTAAAGACCTGCAGGAGAAATAACAAGCAATTTTTTTAATACTAACTGAATTTTAATTATTGATTGACAAAAGTAGGCTTAATGTTGAAGTTGAAATATGTGCCTGTGTTCTGTAACAAGAAAGCGGGTCACCATGTCTTTCGTCAACGACTTCGTATAAAATCTAATTGCCCCGCACAAAGCGGAGTTTCAGTTCAGCATTGTTGTCCACCGTTTAAAATATCGCTACAACAATTCAACTTAAAACACCTGACGTGCCTTTTCGTCACGTATTTAATGGTGATATGTGAGCTTGGGAGGTTTCTATCTCCAGTGCTGTTTAGTATTTTCACTGTCGACTCTCGCTAGTTACAATCATTACAAAACAATGTGCTGCCGTATGCCGCGAACAATGGGGCCTCCATGGAGCCTGATGCCTTTGCCTTACAAATATGGCGTGTGATTTTGACAGATGCGCGCGCGTTTCTACGGCGCCACTGTTGCGGAGATTTACTGTTGCTCCAACGGCCATATTGTCCCGCCTTTATGCGCAAACTCGCTCGGAATTCATAACAAATGGCCGCGGCTACTGATTTGAATGTCAATACTTAATACGGTCACTGAGATTGTCTTGTTTCTGCCCAAATAAAGCGATGGAATGGTGTTGTGTAGGGGCAGCATATTTTTATGTGGGATAATGATTTTATGAATTCATATATTTATCGAAGGCTCCAGTTTACAGACATTTGCAAAACAGCACAAATTCGCCACGCCTGACATCGTCCAAAGCCGTTTGTAGAGTCGTAGTGTTTTTAAAGTGAAGGCTTAAAATATATGAAGGCTTTTGCAGATGAAATCGTTCAGTGATTCACTCTGATAGACTGGTAGAACAAAAACAGATGACCTCTCAGCACATATGTAATACCGACCAAGGAACACAGCCTCCTGAAGCTGATGATTGGCACGAATTAAAAGAAATGGTGTTCTGGATAGCGGCTTTTATATTGGATAATATAAGGATCGGTCCGATCCGGTCTTAGGTCATACACAATCTAATTTGTTTAACATACGTACTTTTCAATTTGGTAAATTTGTTTCAAACATCAAAGTAACACAATAAATGCGACATCGCCGTAGTATTTAGAAGGATGCAGGAGATCTACTTATTTAGGTTAGTCTAAAATATTAGAGGTGGAACTTTTACTTCGACTGTGTACTTGGCCACCCTAACACATCTTCAATAGCGCAAGTCGCTTGTTGTCACTAGTTTTAAAAGACGTGATTCATAGAGTCATCCGTTAATGTACGTTGAACAATAAGGCTAAGTTTTAACTACAGTTTTTGGTTTTCTGCATCTAATTAACGCCGCATAGATTACCTACACCTTAGCGCTTCTTTACTCACAATTTAACATGACTATGGTATGAAGAGTTAGAAATTATGTTGAAAAGAACGCGATTCAATGGGAATACTTCTTTAAAAACTCCTTCTACCGCTTTGATATAGTAAAATGAATAGCAGCTACCTATGTTTTTCAGACAAGCTATGGTGTGTGTAAACTATAGTGGTAAATTTATATATAGTGTACTATTTATTCCCTCAATAACACAAAAGTAAGTATATTTTATTAATATTATTTTAAAAGCTCATTCACTTTCGATTTCTTGTACGGGGCTTTACATTTTCCTTTATAATGTCCCGCTGTATGGCTGTCCCTTTGTATGCTTAGATCTTTAAAACTACGCAACGGGTGTTGATGCGGTATTTTTTACTAGATACAGTGATTCAAGAGGAGGGTTTATATGTATAACACATTGCACCCGTGCGAAGCTGGGTCACTAGTGTTTAATAAACATGTATATTCACAAAACTTAGCGCAAAATCACCACGCCTGTCATCGTTCAAACCTGTTTGGAGAGTCGTAGTGTTTTTAAAGTGTTGTTGGGCTAATTGCCAATATTGCAAGTTTTTACACAACCTTAACTGATGCGACGCGACGGCAAACCCGACTTCTAACCTTTGTTCATCGATCTGCTTTAATGTCAGCTCGGGAAAATGTAAAACGTCATGAGTACTATACGATTTGTTTTGTTAATATAAAGAAAATTGTACATTTAACTCAAATTCAAATATACTTCTTCATATACGTAATATTTACTGGGTAAAATAGTAACTGCATGAAATTTTCTACCACGCACAACTACTTTGTGGAAGGAGTTGTCGCCAGCGGTATTTCCAGACCGATACGACTTAGAGATCTTTAAGGTGAGAGCCTAGAGGTGATGACTGGTGACAGGTGATGATGACAACTGATGTTGCAAATATCCATGAGCGGTGATGATTACTTACAATCAGGTGACCCGTATGCTCGTTTGCCTCCTTTTTCCATAAAAAAATAAAATAAAAAAATTGACGAAAAGCTGTTGTTTGACGCTGCTGGCATCTGGGCGCAATTCCGGAAGACGAGGGTTCCCTTCCCGCAGCGGTGAAAAACATTTCGTACATTTTTCTACCAATTTTAATATTTCATCTTAAGTTCAGAGATTATAACTATAAAAACTTAATATAAAATTTAAAGAAACATTAACAATTAAAATAAAATAATATATTTTTGTGCGTAAATTCAATGGATAAATAATTGTTGTCTTTGGTCATTCCTTGTCTCTGCGTGGCGTTCTGACAAAACGTTCCGTGTCGCCAGCCCACAAATCGCGAGGCCATAAATAAGGTGTTGATCACACGCGGCGTTGCTCATTACCCGCCTGATATACGGCCCGACTTGATTGCTAGTGCGGACCCCGCCTTATAATTAATTCTATTTTTAGCATTCGCACGGTTTCGCTCAGGTGTGTTCAATTTGTTTGCTAACTGTAAAAGTTAAATAGTTAGTACGCTATATTTGATGTTGTAAATTCTGGTCCCATTATTTTAATGTAACATATAGAGTTTATTAAATGAAGGTAATATGTAAACATTAAAACTATTATAGTTGCAAGAGTTAACTCATTTGACCTCATTTTTACGAAGTTTTGGTTGGCTCCACTGGTATGTATTCGGCGCCACTAATGGAAATCTGCAACGTCAGAGGCGTTCAGTTAAAGAACCCGATAGACAAACGGAAAAGTATTCTCTAAGGCCATGATGTTAAATTATAATTACAAAATAAAATTTCATGGACATAAGCGTAATTATTTTCGTATGTTACATATCTTGTAGATAATTAGTGCGTTGAAATAACAGATTATGAAAACGATCCGTTCCCAATAGCGATGTCGACCAAGAAATCTGTCAGAGTGCAGTTCGTTTTCAATTATCCGTCCCAAGAACAATTCGTTAGCAAACGGACAATAGTTTGCCGAACTGTCAGCGGCATAACGATCGCCTTTGGAAAGACACGGGAGGCAGAAGAGGCGAGTGCCGCTGTTTTATGTTCCGTCACCAATTGCCTTGATTTAGTAGCGAGGGCACTTTTTGTTCGTCGTTCCGTTTTTGCCGTGGTCCTTGTTTTCTACTGGCAGTGTTGGTTTTCTTCTGTTATGCTGTATTGGTTCCGAAATTAAGCTCTATGGTATCGCTAGTTAGGTTTGGAAATTCTATTACTTGTACGTGAGAGTATTGTTGATGGATCATGGATGATGTTTGTCGATCGATTTGTGGTTTAGATGCAAAACGGCAAATGATGATTCAATTAATGGCTTATTGGAATGTTTGTTCATTTTAATATCACCCATTTCTTCTCGATTACGTTAACTATCTTTGGACCAAATTGGTTATTGATGTCTCGATAATTTTAGATTAATAATCAGATCATTATTAGTTATTACGTAGATAAATTATATGGTTGCTATGATTTATGTGTGTATGAAAGTGTTTAAATATGATTCTTTGTTCGCTTCTAGAGTAAGAAGAATCAAAAAAAATCTGTCTAGTGTCGGTAAAGATAATTTCAATTTTAAACACTTAAAATCATGAGCACCTGTTGAGGTTGAATAAAGATTAATAATTGAAATGCCAAGATGAGTCCAAGACGCTATGCACTAAACATATTTTGACTATGGAAGCTTAAAAGCATTTTAAACATGAATTACTAAAAGTAGATGATATAAAATTCATTGGTTCGACTATGCCAAACTCATTTCACGATGAAATGTCATTTCGACAAGTGTGTTAACATTAACAGCTTGTAACGTCGAGATTCCCAAATTGGACACGCTCCTGAAGCTGCTTGGGTGTCTCGGCATCCGCTGAATTTCACGCGCTGGCGGCGGCTCATTACTGCCCCTTTTTTGTTGCACCCGCGCCTCCGCTAATGTGCACATTCTGCCCCCATTGTGAGCGCTTCTATAGCTTAACTACCGTCTTGCTGCACGTCTTTTGTGACGCCTTGTAACGCTTGATTCGGCTCCGTGATTTGCAGCTTTTGTCTCGTCGAACGCGTTGCCGCCTTTGTGCGGGAGAAGCTTTCGCAGTGAGTCCAGGAGCTCGGATCGCGATTGTTTCGTTGGAGTAAGATATTCGGAGTCGAAGATTAATTGCCTTCAACTGTCTTCAAACGTTCTCTTTTCTACGAGCGCTTAATGTTCTCCAAAAAATGTCAATAATGCGTGCCTTTGTTTGATATCTTGTTATTGTTTGCTTTCATGTTTAACCGGCTTCAAAAAAGAAGGAGGTTTCACAATTCGACCGTATATTTTTTTTTATGTGTGTTCGCGGATAATTTCGTCATTTATGAACCGATTTTGATGATTCTTTTTTTGGTGGAAAGGAGATATCCCAGGGTGGTACCATAATAAGGAAACCCGGATCTGATGATGGCATCCCAGAGAAATCGAGGGTAATCCTCAAATGTTATAGGTATTAACAACATTTTTTAGTTTCCGATTTCGGTTATTTTTTGATAAAAATTATACTTGTTGTTTTGAACAGACATTTAATATAATAGGTATAGTATCGAAACATGATATTTTTAATTGGTTTTCAGTTTTGGAAAATATTACCTTCAATGCCACTATAACAACACAGCATTAAGTTAATAGTATTCAGTCTGGATGATGCGATTTAACTGATATGACTTATAATTTTTACGAACATTTTTAACTCTTCCCGTCTGGCGCAATAGATCGATTAAGTGTATTTAACAAGCAAAATATATGCAAAACTAATGGTCAAACACGAAAATTTTCCCCCATAACGTTGTCTAATGAAACATTAGAATCCGTTCATTGATTCTAACGCTCACATTAATCGGCCAGCTCGTCCACGATTTCATTACGTTCGACGATTAATAATTTTAACGAATAGATCTTTTATAGTCACTCTATAATCTGAATTATGATTATGTCCGAGCGATGTTCGGCGTTACGACCGGTTCTTCGAATCGATAGGAAACTGATGAAGTTCTCGCCATCGACGCTCTCAAGTCGACTTAAATCGATATAACTTAATTCACTTGGCTTTAGTGAGGCTGTAAAATAAATAGTAGCGGTACTTTTGAAGGCGCACTCGGTTTTGATCTGTTTTGGAAAGTTTACGCCCGCGCTTTTATGATTTGCGGTTGACTTTAATAACGCTTTGGTGCCGCGAGATATGATATCTAGTGGATCCTTAAGTTAAACGCTTCTTGATATCATTCACCTTGCGAAGGTAGGCTACGGAGTTAACATTACATTAAGTATATGATACCTGTTTTATTAAGTTACTGTTACGGAATACTGAATCTTATTAAACATACTTATAACCGAAAAAAAATTTGGTGGTTTAACTTTGTCTTGTGTTTGAGAAATGGAAGAGGTCAGAACCCATGTGAAGATTTTGTTGAGTCTTATCGAGTGTCGATAGTGGTTTACAATGACAGTCATAATATAAATATTTAAATCAAATATACGTCTTTAATCCCTGTCGACGGAGATAACTGCAATTGCGATCGATGGCATCTCTTAATTTACTCCGAGCCCACTTAAGGCCTTTGTTCACGTTACTTGTTCCTTAAATGAAAACAGGCGTAGCGTTGATTCGTGTTTCAATCGTCGTTCAGACCTCTGGGGGGTGATTTATGTCGCCCCCCGCTATCCCAATGAAGGCTGTCGCAGACTCGGCGACTGCGTCGATTATTCGGTGCGCTGTCCACTACCGTTTGGTTTCCGGGCGTTGCATTGTCTCCAACTCTTCGAGGAATGCCGCTCGCTGCGTCTCCCGTTGTCGCTGGCATGTGCCCTTGCGTCATTGTTTAGTTTCCAACTATTAGTAGTGCAACAGATGTCTCCCGTTTTTCGATGTAATTTATTTCGTTTGATGCACTTAGATTCAAAAGGTTTCAATTGACGAACCGCAGAATGCTAAGGGCGTTCGCACATTTCTGTCCAGTCATTGAAATATTTGTGGCGTTTGATAATATTACTTCAAATGTTTCTTAATATATTATCATGTATTTAGAAACATTTGAATTGAAGTATATATGTGCATTTATCAATGATTATTAAAACAATCTTAAAGTCTATGTGATTGATATAAATAGCTGGGAGCATCTTTTCATTTTCAGGGATGCAGTACTTAATGAGGAAGGGTTAAGTGTATATTTTTTTGTCCTTTACTGTAAATTGGCTGAAATACGACGTCGGTTGATGAAGCTATCAAAAAATGATGCCACCTATAAAATTATAACACTACAGGCTGGCATGCGCAAGAAAAAAATCCAGTCGCTTTTATTGTATAAATATGTTTATTAAGCGATGAAAAGTATGTTGTATTTTTACAGAATGCATTTTATATAGCGTTGTAGAACTGTCATGTAAAGAATGTCTGACAAATGTTTGAACTCGGCCTGTAAAGAAACTTGTAATGTAAGCTGTTTCGGATTCCACAAATTAGCGTAAGCGTTGTGATCATCTCACATTACAGGACACACAACTTATCAGGTTTTTCGAACGATAAAACAGAAACGTGTTAATAGGAAATTCATTAAATGAAGCTAAACAATTAACTTTGGTTAATTAGGGCTCTATATACAATAATCATATATTCCTTTTGTTGCCGTTTCGGTAGTAAATCTTCTGATAGGTTCCATTGTAAAGTGATTTTGTAATTCGAGGAGAAGCTGCCCTCGGCCATCGTGATTTAGCATGGCGTAAACTACCCCAGCTTCCAACTGCAAACACAAAAGTATTGTTTGCTTAGAAGGCCATTCGCAGCTTCGCTAAAGACAACACCATCGGCTCCCTAGTTAAGCGCTGATTAATCGCCCGCACCATGATCGGAAGCCGAAGCAGTGAGCAGATCAACATTGCACCCCCATTAGTTAATTACCAGACACCCTTTGTCGGCGTTTCCACGAAACGGCGCGCGGGCGGCGGCTGGCCTTAGGAAAAAACGGCCGCTCTCAGTCATCGATCCCTAAGCGAATCACGGACGAAAATAATAAAAACATCACAGTCAAAATATATGTCGGCGATCGGGGGAAAAAACTCTCTGAAAGGAGAGTTGACTTACTGATGACTTTGTTAGACGCCGCAGACGATGTCGCCTAGCATACTCCCGTTTGAATTTCAACTCTGTAGGAAAAGGTTTAGAAGAGGTTATGCTAAGGAGTCCGGCTTCGGGCTCTTAGCGGGGCGTGGCCCGTTTCGAATGGAAACATTTGCCAATATTATCGTGAAAGGACCCGAGCAGATGAAATAATTTATTTCCCGCTTGTCGCTTTGTATCCAAATCTACGTGCCATTGTGACGTTTTTTGCGGCGGCCGCTTTGCCGGCTCCGATGTCTCTATTCATCCCTTTTGGGAAAGGGCACCGACTGTTCTAACACCATTCGGATAACTCTCCACCCCTCGACCTTAGGGTGCACTATCGAGAATCGCGGATTGTGCGATTTAGGCCGTTTTGGAAGTGTAACCGGGCTGTGTTGGCGACAATAGAATTGGAACGTTGGCGGGTACGTAGTGGTTTGTGCAAGGATCTATTGACTTTTGATTTACGCCTTATAAATCAATGCCGGACGTTAAGGAGATTATGTAAAGCACACGGATTTGCCGCTGCGACTCTATGGGTCTGTGTAAGCAGTGTTTAGCTTAGGTGCCGCCTGATTGAACGTGTCAATGCGTGGAAACGTCTTCATAAATAAGACCGCGAATACGGATCGCGATGCTAACTTAAGTTTCGTCGTAACGTCGATTTCTCTAAACTAAATGAACTTTATGTAATTTGTCAAATCCGTTGAGATTAAAAGATATAAAAGATTTTTTTTTATATTATAATCGGCACTAAATTCTCTCGCAATTTAAATCTTCTTTCTATTTCCATTTTTCCCAATGACCTTGTCTAAAATATGTAATCCTACCCCCCCTGTATTCAAACATAATAGTTATAGAATAAGAAGAAATATGGAAGCTGTTAGGAGAGAATTCTTTGGCTATGGAGTCCACTCTCCTGGGATTTTATAGCTTTGTTTTCTCAAAAACTTATTTTGCTGACAAATCAACACGTCAGCAAAATCGGTCATTGTTGAAGTTTGTTTAAGTAGCAAATGGATTTGCGAAGGTCTAAAGACAATATTAAATCTGCAAATCATTCTTGACAACAAAAAAGGGTGGTTAGGGATCGTTTTTAGGTGTTAATATAAAATTAAATAATATAGTAAACATTTATTTAGAGCAACTACTGTATTATATAATACATTTTTTTTTTAAATTTATATATTCTAGGATTAAATTACGAAAATTGCGTGACTTATCTATACATAGATAAATAAAATTGAAGTTTCAGTTTGTAATATTAAAATTAATATTTTCTAATTGCATATGGATGTATACATGGAACATATAACAAAACTAGCTTTGCCCGCGACTTCGTCGGCGTGGATTTTAAAATAAATAAAATTTCTAAAATAAAGGTAGCCTAAGTTACTCCTAATTACATCAGCTATCTACCAGTGAAAGTCTCGTCAAAATTGGTCCAGCCGTTTCAGAGATTAGCCGGAACAAACAGACATACAAAAATTCTGTGTATCTGACAACAACTAAAAGATGTCGTTGCATTCTTTACACCCGGAAAGATCTTATTAAATTAACGTGTACCATAAATAAGCTAAATAGATCCTTGATTTGACCATAGGACAGGTACCTATAATTCGTACAATAACTCTGCTATAAGTTTAAAAAAATTAGTTACATGTAATTTATGATGGAGGTCTATCACAGCTCAGTAAAATCAGTCGCTTCTAATTCAATATACTCGAGCAACCTGAATTAAAATCCCAATGAAAGCCAGCACCAATGAAATAGGTGGGTAATTTTAAGTACCGACTTAATTGTTGTTTAATTAACATTCTTTGATATCCATATTACTATGGATAACCCTTATCAAACAATACAATACAAAAGTTAAGAAAGATAGAAATGAATTGGTTCCAGTTCAAGGCGCAGTTGTTCTCATAACATCGATCTTTACGTCGTCCAATGATCATCGCTTTGTTTCAGCTGGTTGCGGTTTATTGCTAACGGAGCCTGGCGAATCGCTCGGCTTGTGTTCTTCCAGCTATCCGCCGCTCCCCACTGTTCCTTAGAATGTGACACCCATAATGGCTCGCCATTTGACTCAAAGGAATCGTTGAGCGTCGCTCATTAGCCTCGACCGGTCCACACCACTCGTCCCACCGAATCAATGGCCCTTAATGCGCCATCATCGCTTTACTGCCGTCATTGTGGCCGCGACGTGGCCAACTCGACGCATGGGGTCCGCACAAAGCGTGACCACTATAAACAATGTGTTATTTATCGTTTTACAGCCGCCGTATAACTTGCGCGCACCGAGAAAGAGGCCCAATCATTTCGTAAAAGCACCCCTAATAAAACCATCATGGGCAGAGTTACGGTACGGGTACGGGCCCTCGGGCAAAAAAACTATGGCTGGCAGCTTTGTGAGTTTTCAATAGATTTGGCACGCTCACAATTTCACCGCGGTCGCGATACGCCTCGCACGGTGCATGAATGCTACGGAGTCAAATCCCTCACCGCTCAATAATGGCAACACCGGTCGTTTTACACAAATGTTTGTCGACATTAGCGCGCCATTTTGCAAGAGCCGTGCGCATACGATTGTGCATTTCGTCCGGATTAACGGGATGCTTGGCAAACAGGCAAACTTGTTTGCCGCGCCGACGGTGACGGATGGATGCTCGATTCGCCATAACGTGTGTCGTTTGCCAAACAGTTTGAACATATATGTTAATGTTTCACAATGGGATTGTCGACGCATTGAATATGAATTATATATCGTCAAATATTTGTTCTATCCGCATTTGTGTAACTTAACAGATTATTGTAATAGATATGTTTTCATGTTTGATCTTGGACGTTTGTTTATGGATTTGCTTCTGGAAAGGGCGGATATGCGATTAGTGAAGGTAGCAAACGAGTCGTTAGTTATTTATTATGAGTGAGGATATAATAAAAACTGGTATTATTAAGATATAGGTTGACGTTGACATCATCCTATTACCAATTTCATCCTTATACTCGCCGCACACTGCCATACCTGAAGTTTTTATTGACAAGAATTTCAATAATATGTATAACGAATGTAAGATAACTTCTGTTTTAATTGTACCTGTTGTGGAAATCGTTATAACAGGGATTGAGTTGTGATTATACTTAAGTGTTGGCACGTTCGTCTTGGGTTTATATACGCCAATGTTAAAGACAGGAATATTTTATATCTTTTTGATTTTGCTTTTCGCCCTGTTTGTGAATAGAAGTACATGGCTAGTAGTATAAAATTGACTGCATATGGATTCGGTGGCGCAGTTGATAAGCTATTGGCCACGGCACCGGCAGTCTTGGGATTCCCATACGGGACGAGCATTTGTGTGACCTATAGAAATTGTTTCAGATCTAGATGTTTGGTCGAAGGTTGACTTGAGGCAAAACACCGCGGTCGGCCGTTAAACCTAGCTTATACCATTTACAACATGATTCACTAGGTGTGCCGCCCCACCTGAGTGGAATACATTGCCAATTTTGCATGCACACTTAGAAAGGAATAGAAGATGAAAGTTGACTAGCTATTATTAATACGTCTATAGCTTATAGCTTATAGCTATTATTAATACACACATAACACACTCAAATAACATTAAACACTCAGTTAGTGCATCAACAAACACCATAGTTCGTCCTCGCCTTCGAGCACGGCGTTCCAGGGCGATTCTCACCGCC